ATTTAACGCTTTGATTTACGATTTTGTTGAACCTGTTATGCCTCGACTATGCATCACGTTTGACCTGTGCCAGAAAATATAGCGCAGATTGTTTGGCGCGTTGGTTCCGTGGCTGGTCGAAATTCTCTTATGCAGCGGCGCATCGCCTCGTTAGCCTGATACACCCGCAGCCGCCATTAGACAGAATAAATTATTATCAACGATACAACGGATAAATGTGAGTGAGCGGCGTGGCCGGCAGGGTGCTTGGCGGATCGGAACGGTACGTGAAAAAGGAGCGTTAATGGCATAAATTGAAGCTCCTAGCTAGTCGGTAATAGACGCGCGAGCACGTTACGGAATAACCTGGTTGGCAGTAGCCGCTTTATCGGACGCGTTGCGTCCTATGTGGCGCGAGTTAATGATTCCGCTCGCGCTCTGTGTGCACGCCATGCCCGGCCACCGTCGGGTGACACGCGTCCGTAGAAAATTCTCATTTGAATTGCAGAAGCTGCAGTTGCGCGCGCTCGAGCCCGTGCGACTGCAGTCGGCTGATTGATTCATCAAAGCAGCGCGAGCAATTACGTCACGGCACGCTGAGAGCCAGGTGCAACCGACCAAAAGATTTCCCCACCGCCGTAACCCGCTGCCACACCTTCGTTTCGTCTGCGCTCGCACAGACCAATTACAGCGTGTCTTACACGCGCCTGCCGCGATGAGAGCGTACTTACGACAGGATCGCAGATACCTGGAAAGTTGGTCGCACTGGCAGTTCCTGTTCATCACTGGCCATGCACGAAGAACGGAACACACCGCTCCGAGAAGGCCGCACATCTGCGGGACACGACGTACGTGCATTCCAAGATTCACGGCCAGTCAGAATTACGAATTACGACGCTTCTTGCCTAACTAAGAGCCGTTCCTATCTCTGTCTCGTGTCGAAGTACACGGTAAATCGCACAGTAAGTCTCGCCATCTTCGATAAGACTCCGAAATTATTCTACTAGCTGATAGAACGACGGAGGGAATACGTGATTCCAAAATTATCGATGAATTGAATTAGATTTCTTAACCCTACTACGCGCTTTGTATCATTTTAGAACCAATCGAGATTGTATCTCGCCACGAGAGCACAGATCGGTTGAAGTCGCTATTTTACAAGGATTCGTTAAACAGAAGTCGATTAAAGTCAAAATTTAGGTATACGAAAAATAACGAAACACTTCACGTATGGGTTGACGCGTTGAAAGCTTTCCGATGAATAAAAAAGCGTTCCTTGAATTTTTCATTCACTGTCTGTTTGAAATTTCAAACCGCGTCATCGTATATTTTATCGTTTTAAATCCTTACTTTGCACGGAGAAATTTTCCATAAAATGCAATGATCAACCGTTTCACGTACCACCAAACCCGCCAGAGAGTACAAACTGCCCTCATAATTTACAAGCTGCTAGCATCGCATTAAGAACGCTAGGTCAACAGATAATGGTATGGCAGTAAGTTGCCACGGTGAACGTTAAATTATCGCTTTCAACGTACGCAAAAATAATGGCAATTGCACGAAATTGTTCGCTCGATCGACCAAATATGGATACGGCATCGAAATGAAATTTATCAGAGGACGAGCTCCTTTCCCACCTACAGTTTGTTACGTCGTTCGACGCCGTCAATTCAGTTTCCTACTTTAAACGAGTACAATTCGATCGATGAAAATTGACGCTTTAATCGACCTGCTACGCTCACCTGTCACTTTGCATTAACCACCAGAAGATTAAACCGTTGAGTGTATTATGTACCTATCTACATACGTATATCACGTATATGCCTACTCAAGTTGAAGTATGTTCGATGAGCATCCGCAATCTTGCATCTCGTATCTGTATTTGTCCTTCTTGAGGTAATTTTCTTTCGTATTGAAACGTTAACAATAAAAATTAGGTTCTCTGACAACAACGTTATTTTGGTATATGAAACAGATATTATTAATAGAATATTTATTCTATAATAGATAGAAGTAAATATACCAATTGTTGTTAATTAAACGATATTTCGAACAGTTCGAGTTTGAACTAAACTAAGAGCAGTGGCCTTTCAGCAGACAATTCATATCATATATTTACGTAGGTATATATTAAACTATAGAAAATCCGATAAATTGACGCAACTTTGTTTTACCACTGTTTATTTGCTATTATTCGCAAAACAATTAATCTAGTAGAGAATTGTATATCCGCGTTTATTCAAAATTTTATTCAAAAATTCATACATATTCAGTTTCTTTCTTGTCAACCGCAAACGTCGTTTGTTACACCGAGGCTAGTTCGCTATTCTCGCAGTTTTGCAATAGGTAACGTAGCAGTTGTAAAACCGACGATGTCTCGCTAAATAAGTTGCGGTCGTTAAAATTCATTTCCCGCTTGATGCGTCCTATAAAAGATCCAACAGCGAGCACGACACATCGCGCCAAATAGTTTCGACTATAACAATTCCATAGCAACTTTAACGGTATTTTTCGACTCGAAACAGTCGTCTGAAATGCCGAATGCTTTGTAAAATTACGTACGCCGTAACATACACAAGCAATTTAGTTTTTATGGTCAGCGAACGTTAGTCCGATACCGGTGCTTCAAGGACGTATTTTCTCATCCGAAAGATCGAAGTCTCTCGTCGTATTTTTAGAAATTATAGTTTCGAAAATATATCGTTAACATTTCATATCGTCGCATGGTAGAGAGTTTTTTTTATGGAAACAATAGATTTTTTTTTAGATTGATAAATTGCAATAGATATGGTACGCCAGACAAGGGCCGAGGGAAGACAAATAAAACACGTATGCACATGGCCTATACATATTATATATATTCCAAATGGAAACATAAAATTTTTTCAGAATTCTATATTTTGAATTCTATATATTCTATCTAGAAGTTTGTGACTTGTACGATATTTCAAAAGGTAATCGATACCTTTCGACGAATGTTACAAATTTTACATACACCGGACATTTGAAAGAATTTTTTCTCTTAATCCTCAATTCTCAAAAATACCTTAAATAACAAGTAAACTGCGGATATTTACTGCATTCTATATCACGATAGTATGTAGATCGTAAAATATAAAATATTTGAAGTACTCCGCTAGGTTCCATTTCTTGACTTGCGCTCATGAAAATATGAATTTGTATGGACACCGGCGGTGTGGCAATAAAAATTCAATCGCCAGTGAACGTGTTAAAAATTGATGCCTCGGATAAAATATATACCTTCGGAAGTTGGTCTGTAAAGTAAAGTGGCGATTGCACGGCACATCGATGGATATTGTGAACGGATAGTACTAAACGAGCGCGACTTCCTGTCGAAACCTATTAGAAACGATATAGTAAAGAAGTTGCCGCAATAGCCAGGAAATTTTTCGACCCTCACGCGACTGCTCTTTGACATCCAGCGATTACACACAAATCCCCGAGTCCCATTTAACCCTTTCGAATCGTATATCTTGGATCGAAGAAACAGTTAGCGTGATACATTACTTTCGAATGGGCTGGGCAGAGATGCCGCCGGGATCTACACGGCTAGGTCGTCACTGGTAATAATTCTAAGAAACGGCTGCGTATTGAAAGGGCTAAGAGTCATTACCAGAAAAGTCGGCGCGCGCCATCCCGACGGAATATACGCGAGTAGATGAACGAGCCAGTTTATCTTGACCACGATCGAAGAAAAAGAGAGAAGCTGCGTTTAATGTACGATCCTAGTCGAAAGAATCGAATATCTCCCTCGTTTAAATATTTCTCTTGTAACCAGTGCCGACTTCGTTCTGTATTGTTGAAATAGTATCAGGTACTTTGGTATTTTACGACGGTCTTTGCGAGTGGCTTGTAGACGTCGAGAAAATATTGGTACGAAAATACACGGTTATACGAAACGTGCATCGACTATAACGATCTGGCATTGAAACTGACGAACAGCGAAGAGGAAGCGCATACACCTATAGTAAGTAAACCGATAGGTACGTAGAACTTTTATTTCGATTAACCTGATCGATGATCAAGCGATAATTTAATCCTACTGTGATTCTCCAATTTCTATATTTCAGTCCTACTCTCGTTTTCAAAACAATTTTATGGCTTGAAGTCAGAGAAATGAAATAAGAGAAACAGATATTGTTAAAAAATTAATCTGCATCGCGTCGAATCGTGTAAGAGCTGCAGAAGCAATAAAATAACACCGTACCCGCTATTACAATAGTTCGATTAAAACATACTTACGTAATTTAAAATAACATCGATTCGTTATCCTACTTCACAGTGTTATTTTAACGAACGAAACACGCGCTTTCTGTTTTATATTCGTATTAATAATATTACATTGGAATATATAATTATATTAATGCGTGGAAATAAACGTTTTCAAAATATCATCGTTTAAATATCTAACTCGTTCGTTTACTCGCATACAGTTGCTTATTAACTTTCATTTCGAGACAACACGAGCCACGGACATCGCACATTTTAACAGTTGTACGAATTGAACAAACGAACAGACGAGTAATTATCGGAAAATATTTGTACCGATAGGATAGAAATTTTCCATTTGAGCCTCGGTCGAAACGGCCCAAAATTCGTGCAGCCAACGAATAAATCTTAGTTCGCGCCTAGATCGAGCGATCGAATAAATAAAACAAAACAAACACTGCCGGCAGAAATAAAAACAAGGAAGAAAATCCTTAGCCGCGGTCATAACGCGTCCCGATGGCGGACGCAATGGCACAACTCCGCCATTTCAATCTAACCGCGCAACGATCGCTTTATTTCCCGTGCAATATTCGAACACGGGATTTTCGCGGATGGACGTAATATCTGTTCTCACCCTGGGATCCGGTGTAATCCTTTCTCACCGCTAGAACTTCGAAATGCCCAGTATTAGACAGAAGCCGGGCAGCAGCGAGCGCTCGGCTTAATATTTGCGGCTCGTTTTTCTTCGTCAGGACGTTCGCGAAAGAGGGTGGGGCCGAGAAACGGCGTCAGCGTCGGCGTCGGTGTCTGCGTTAGTCGTCGTTCGTTCGAAGCACTCGATGTAAGCGTAGGTACGCGTAATTTACGACGGGAGTTTTCGAAGTCCTTAAAGCTCGACTCGCTCTTCGTTTAATTACTCGTGCCGCGGCTCCGTTCCTTTTCGGCGGGGTATTTCTAGCGGCCCGGTCGAAAAGTCACCGAGCAATTGGATCATCAGATTCGAGCGTGAAACGAGTTGATCCGATAGGATTAGCTCTTTGTGCGAAACTGCGTTTCAAGGAGAAATATTAGGGGATGTTGGTATGGTAGTGACCTGACAAGTATATTTTATAGATCTTTCTTGGAAGCACCGTGGATAAATCAACCATCGGTGAAGTTCATATAGAAAATACAGTACGTTCGCGAACGAAGGTAAAATGTGAAACGTGTATGAAAAATGTCAGTCGAAAATGATTAAGTAACTTAATTTTTCCAACAAAAATTAAAGCAAGGAACGCGCTCGAAAAATTTAATTTTCACTATATGGATTGTTAAATTTAATAATTACGCTGCATTATAATAAAATTAATTAACAATATGGTTTCGGAATGCTGAATTTTGGTTTCGTATAATTGGAGAAAATTATATTACCGATAGATGTAACTGAATTATAATTTACGAATTTTAAATGGTGATATTTTACACTTTAAACGAATGTTCTCTCGGTTAATTAAAGTTTCCAATATCTTGAAATTAAGTAATTGTTTTTAACACGCGAATAAACAGAAGAAAAGACTGAAATAAAGCGATTGCTAGCAATCGATATTCTCGCAAGCAATTTTCTACGAGAGACAACTACACATATATCTACATCGTTTGCTTCTTTTTTTACAACTAGGAATTTTTTTAACACGAAATAAGTTTCATCCGTCCGAAGTTTTATTTAAAAATTTAAAAACAATAGGTTCCATAAATCGGCAGGCAGATTTTAATTACGCATTCCATGATTCTTACGATGGGCTCGAGTTACGTTAGATTACAAATTGCATATACACACGTATAATTGAATTCTCTAGGATGCACGCAATCTTTGTTCTGTTAAATATATAATACGTAAGTATACATATATGTATAATGTATTATACTAAGTATATGTATTGTACTTCAAATGTATCTAATAGCAATACTAATTGTGCTTTTAATACGAGACACGTTTCTCTCTGTATGTTAACGAAATCAACATGCTAAACCCCGATCACAAAGTTAAGTTCGAATATTCATTGATATTCTCGTGTTATTGCTCGTCAGGCTGTTAGTCGATCCCTTCTGACACTGCGGAAGATCGTAGGCACCGTGGAAATCGGGTCTGCGTCCCAAGGGATCACAGTGTAAAATGGAAACTTATTAAAACGTATTACGGTCGGGACTAGGATCGTGGAAAGTAACAGTAACGGATACGATTGGAAGTTTAGGTGAGATTAGAAACACGAAGTAGTATGATAAAGGTTCTTTGGTTACGAGACGTATAACCGAAATCCGTTAAAGTGTTATTAACGTTTGAATCCAGGCGGAGAAACGAAAAGACCCAAGACTTAACCCGAAAATGATAAGTTACCGAGGCTGGTTCACAGTGGAAATTTACGACGGAGAAATTAAGATTCTATTGGGCCTTTAATATATCGCCTGGACGAAGAATATATTTCAACGGGATGGAGGGAATAAAAATTCTCGTGTCTTGGCTAAAGGCGTTTCGTAACGTCTTATCGCGGTAATATTCGCGCCAAGTAACTGAAACGGTACTCACTGCCTGGGTAATCAGAGTGCAACGTGGTGCAATTAATCGTTAATTCGTCGTCGAGCTACGCGATGAAGCAATTCGTTATCGCAACGAATAACTGCGATCAGTTTTTATCTTCGGAACGAGAGAATCCGCAACGAACGTAAAAAAAAAACCGGTACGCAGGAGTTTTCGCTGAATTCGGTTCGATGATGAGAAATTAAAATAGATTATCGGGACGCGATCATGCGTCACATTCGTTATAATTTTATCGATAGAACCGAGCGTATGAGCAGCCGAACCTGTGCGGCAGTATGCAAAGTTATCGTTTACAGAATTTCTACAAAGCGATCAAATGAAATTCATATCGGCACAAATGACTGCTATCGATTAATGTCGGCACGCTTATTGGGATATTTTCTGCGCCGGCTCTATCGAGCGGAATAATTGCGCACTAAACGTTAACATTAAATATTTGGTAACAGAGTTCAACTGCGCTAAAAACAAAATTGTTGAAATAATTTGGAGATTCTGGTACACAGTTACTTTGCTGAATAAAATCATAACGTTAATAATGCGGTGAAAACTAAAGTGAAAGAAGCCACGAGATTAACGTCGATAGTTTGTAAAAGTTTGCCGATCAAAGACAGGAAAGCGTCGTCGCGTCGCACCTTTGACGCTCCGAGCATACATTTTAATTCGATCGTGACCTTTCGCGATTTGCTCTTATGAAAGATTCAAACGGTCGTTACGCAAGAATACGGCGAGATGCAAACACGTTCGTTGAGAACGCAACACGTCGCTCGTGAATATCATGCAGTTGTCGCGGAACTGGTGCCTCGTTCTTCGAGCCGAAGGTCTGGAAGGCTTGTTAGCCGGCAACCGTAACGCAAACGACGCGTTTCGCAAGAAAGAGTCCAAGTTAGCGATGCGTCACGACTCCCTCTGGCCTTATTTAGCAGGCGTGCACGTAGAAGCTTTTAATTGATCGATTTCTCGAGAGACAGTGATGGATCTCGCGTCTGCATTTCGCGGAAACGATCGCGGCGTCTTTTAACCGCGCTAATGATTCGCATGCCAATTGCATTACCCAAGCTCGGTTTTCGCCTGCTTGATAGACGCGAATAATTGTAATTACTTCCTGTGACAGCAACGATACACTTCTACGTAAGTCTAGTTCAACGCATGATAAAGGCTTAATCACACTATACGTTTGTGGAAATAATTTGAAATTCAAATAGGATTCGCCTGCATTTAATTAACCATGATTTTGAACAACTCGTTTCGTTCGTTTATTCGTTGCAAAATCGTATTTGATCTTCAAAACATAGTTGAACCATAAAACTACTGAAAACATACAGTTAACAAGCATTTTAGTCCAATGTTAAAAACTTGACGTTAACGGTTTTGATACAACAAACAGAGTTACAGGAGGAAAATACACGTTGCTAACTGAATAACAATCAGGTATTTAGGTTACGCAAGGTATTCGCGATCATTTATTGCGAGAGATACATCGCGCTGCCCTTGAGCCGATACTTAGAAAAACCTGGAGTTGCAACGCTACATTTTCTAACATTGATATTAACAGGAACAGTAAGCACCGTTCTCCGATCAAATTTCCAAGAAACGGTGTTTCTGTGAAACCTCACCCGTGTTAACATAGCAAATACTAATCTCGTTCATTGCGTCGCAATGAGGATTATGAGACAGATTCTTGAACAACGTATAGTCCAGCTCAAGATATAGCGATAACGGATAAACTAAACGCCTTTACGAAAACTTGAGCATTTGGATTACCATTTGGAATAATCCGAGCCTCTGTCTGTGACTAAATAGCCACTAATTCACCATAAAGTTAATACATGCAACAAAGCCACGCTTGTTAGCGTGTGTTTCAAAGGCTGACAAAATTCTTTATCACTATCCAGTAGATAAGAAAGAAAAACGATTTAAATAAATTAGAGAGAAGGAGGGAACGAGAAATTCGAAATTGTAACGCGAGCGTGAACTTTTGTTTCGGTAAATCGTCTAAATTGCGTTGATAACGAACTGAATATTTTCTCATACGATCCTGGCCGAGTCTCTATATCTCTCCTTAAACATGTTCGATTTAACTCCTGGCTTATTTTATGACCCCGCTATATGTTTGCCGAGATTATATCACTGAACGAGCATACGAGTATGAAATTCTTGAACGTGGTTAGTTCTTCAAACGTTGGTATCGCATTCGAAATATCGCCAACTATAAGATTCTAACACGATAAAAGTAGCGGAGTTCGCGTGTACAATAGTGTGCACGAGTGGGAAAGTTGGTGCGCAATGGACGTCGCATAAATTAATACACTCGGTGGCTACGAAAGGAGAAAATGCTCGTATGGAAACGTCGGCGTAACAACGGATTCTTCAAAAGGATCGTTTCGTTGACGCAGACAAACATTATTCGCGTGTATTATGTATATCGTGTGCACAATAGCGAAGCAGCAGGGCCGTGGGCTGCTTCGATTCGACAACGTAATTTTTTCTTTTTTCACCACCCCTCGGTTCCTTCCCTCATTCTCTTGCACCGTGGAACGAACTCCGAAATACGGCGTTAGCATACTGACTAAAGAGAGCGAAAGTCGCGAGAGGAGGGTAGATAAAGGTGCACGCAAACCGATGTAACGAATGCGCAAACAAGCACGTCGGTACCCGCGACGGTCTATAATGAAGTTAGGAAAAGTACACCGTGAAGCCTGCTTGAAAAGCGTGATTCGAAGACTCGAAAGAACACGCTGGTGTGCGTGTATCCGCCTGTATACAAAGCGTGTAGTCGTCGTCTGTGTTCCGTAATGGCGCATGTTTGCATCTCTAGTGTTAGCATCTAGGGGTATCTGCATCTCGAGGGTAAATACGGGGGAAACCAAGCGCCACATCGCAAAAAGTATCACGCGATCTACTCGATACAGTAAACATAGCTAATTATCGGATGAATGGGTTGCTAAATTTCGTTTATCACGTATCGCCGTATATGGCATTAACTCGGTCGAGTCATTGTTAAATATTGACGTAGATGACGATAATAGAAACGAAATTTCATCGAGTTTAGATATAAAATAGCAAGAGAGTTATCGATACGATGAAACTTTCTTGGTATCGGCAATTAACGTTGGATAATCGAGAACGTGATATTTAAGACCTGGTACGTGCTTGTCATTGGTATGGATTAAGTCTATATTTAAGCCTTCGGTGAGAAGGGTTGTACTATTTATATAGCACGTAAGTCTGATCTTTTTCATTCGTCGTCATCTGGCGCACGATCTTATACATATGTCTGTACTATAATTATCGATATTATACAAAACATTGCAATTACTGGTTAAAGTTATGAAAGAAACGATTGATCGGCGACGATTTAATAAACTGTTTAAACAATTAAACAACCATGTATAAATTTCAAATTTATAAGGAAAAGTTTATTGAAATAATAAATAAACTTAATATTATCTATGTTTAAAGGAATTTAGATAATAAGATAATTATTCAGGTTACTGTTGGCAAAGGAAAAGGGAAATTAAGGAAGAATATTACGTTCTTTCGTTCGTCCATTGACCAAAAGCAGAAAGATAATAATCATATTTCGACTGAACTCAGGATTTCTTACTTTCGCAAGTTAAACAGAAAATAAGATTACAAGGGAGGAAGGAAGCGCGTATACTGGCACAAAAACACACAAATAAGGGCGAAGAGGTCGCGATTTGAGGGTGGCATAATGAAGTTAGGAAAAGTACACCTTGCCATTGAAACTTGGTTTCCGGCGTGACTCAAGGACTATTCTTGTGCGCGCTTCTGTTTTCGTCTACACGGCAATGCATGTTTATATAGGCGTATCTGTATCTCAACGATAAATGCGACAGAAACTTCAAGTTGTTCCCAGTATGGCTTCCGAATCTGCCTCGCGACTTTCCACGTATTTCTTTATTAACTACCTTTGCATAATTTCCCATTAACCGTACACGTAACAAGTTGAACGTCACTCTATTAATTAACACTCTAAACCTATGAATCTTCTCTTTTTCTCATTTGTCTTGTATCTATAATGACTAAAGTATTTCGATTCCTCGTTCCAAGTAAAGAATTCTCTTTCCTATTTACGTTTCCAATAAGTTACATATATGTGGTATTTATAAAAATGGTACAAGTTTTTAAATCGAAGAACTATATATTTCTGATCATAAAGTAATCCAAAATAGTAAGCAAATATATCCAAATCGAATCTCCAAACGAATATAATCGAACCGGGGATCAATAAAAATCCCACTATTTCTTCTTTGGCAACGAGCAAACAAGAGAAACGAGTGTACATCAAAAACCTACGGATTACGTAATCAGTAAGAAGTTGCGTGTATGCCGATGCAATCGGGAATGGGATAACGAAGTTAGGAAAAGTACACCATGGGGGCTACTCACCAGCCCAGTAATTCGAAGTCTTGCGCATGTGTGTTTGTCTCTGTTTACAGGTTCCACATGTTTGCATACGGGTATCTGCATCTCGACGGCAAATACTGCGAGAACTCGACGCGATGCAGTTTGTAACTTGTTTCTCAAGCACCTTATGTGTCCCTCTAAATTGCATGCTCTCGAATACCGTTCTGCTTCATATCGTTATATCGTCGAATAAATAGAGACTGTGTCGTTGGTGAAATCGCAAAGTTAGTCCGGTCAAATAATACTCGATACATTTAAACAACAATGGTCTTCGAGTAAATATAAAATATTCGTAGGTACAGAATTTTCCTAGAAAACGATAAACAAAATGCGCGCGCGTGTCTTGCGATAATTTTCACGAGAGAATATTCCACATCGTTTTAAAGAAAGAAGCACGATGAAACATACGAGAAACGAGTGTTTGCGATAAACGAACGATCGTGTTAGGAAAAATACACCTGAGTGTAGGGATGAACTATAAGGGTGAAAGTAGGGATAAACTTTCAATGTGCTTCGAAGAACCACCAGTATGCTTTCCCTATATCTAAGTTCTTAAGTACAATCACGTGCAAGTTGGTGCGTATCAGCGCGATAACCATTGCAGTTTATACCATGATTTTCGATTCACATGTACCTTCTGAGCATATTTTTTCTTCAAACGCAACACACGGTCGTTCTCAGACATTTTGATCGAGTATCCTCGACAAACGGAACACTACTTTACCTTCGCGTTTATCTCGAAACTTCGCTTAGTTCGCTGTCTAACCGTCGCCGAACACTATTTTACCAGAATATCGTCGTCTCGCATCTTTCGTCGTGCGCGATTAAAAATACGGCAAATAAAAATGGCCTGTTTTCCTCTTAATTCAAATTATCGTGGCAAACGCACGGGTCTCGCGAAAGAGGAGTCCGATAGACGATCGAATCGCCAATGCCAAGAATATATCGACATGGACGCCGATTTTCATGGTGCACCGCCGGTTCCAGCATGTATGTGTTTGCGCGTACACAAGTCTGTACATTCCCATGCACGCGCGACTGATGTATGTTTGCTCGTGAATATCTGCATCTCTACGGTAAATACGACGAGTTATGCCGTACACGATTTTCGACTCACGTCCTGCCTGCTACACCTCTAGACCCGACTCGTTTCCAGATATGTATCGCTTGAAAGCGCTTTGCCGCAACTCTGCTGCATCCACGACGACGAAAACGGCAACGACAACAACAACGACAACGACGTCGACGACGACTAGCGCGACGAAAAAGATTTGTTGCTACCTAGATAACAACCGTGGTAACTACTTGGACGATAACAATTCGCGTTCAAGTGCCAGTGATTCGTGTCATAGCTATCCACCAGCCGTGTGGCAACGTAGTTTCAGCCAACGCCAATTCTTGTCACGCGGATACAAACTGTTATCACCGAAACAGTTACCATCGCCGTTGCACCGGTGTATGGCCGATTTTTCCTGCCTAATACACGCTTCCATCCTTCTGTACGTACAAGTTAACTATATACATCCACCTTTGCTACATCGAGTAAACGTACCACGACGATCTGTGTACGCAAATCACTTGAACCAATAGGCTATCGACGCGTGTTCGCGGAATGATGTAACGCTCCGATGCAGCGCGTGTTCTCCGATAAAATTCGATTAACAGACTCGTGTACGATATAGCAAAAAATCCGATATCGTTAAGAGTAGACACTGTAAACAAAATGACGAGCCCCCGAGAACTATGGCTTGCATTTGACAATGCGGTACAATGATCATAACGCGAAATTATCAGCACGAGAGGCATCACGATCCAGCTACGGAAATTTGAATTTCTATCGCAGACAGTTTTCGATTTCGGTCTCGCGTCGTAGATTCACCTCTGTCGTAGCTTTGGCGCGACTGTACCATTACCGAATGATTCGATACACAGCCGGAGTCTCTTCTATCCGTCAGTTCCTCGAAATCGTACTTGTTAGCATCGAAGAGACTGAATTAATTAACGGCGCATCGTTAAATCGAACAAACAAAGTACCGCTGTCGACCTTCCGGCCTTTGATCAGACGCAAGCTCTACGTCCACCGGGATATATCATTCTGTACATTTGTCCGCTTACCCCTACACGAAAGCCGCGTGATTCGAGAGGCAATAAGCTGATCATGAGTACCAGGGATTTGTCTGAATTAGCTCCGGTTTAGTTCCCTTAATCGTATTTATGAGTATGAAACACAAAATCTTATCACCATAATCGTGTGTTGATGATAAATAAAGGGATAGTTAAATCTTTGTTGCACCGCTAATTAATTTCTGTGGCGATTAAAAAATATAAATCTGACTTATGCAGAAAAAATGTTCGTTTGCAGCGTGTTAATAAATACGATTGAAGCGTTTAAAGATATTCTTTAAGAAATAGATAATCGCATTGATATTTTTATTCATAATTATAACGTTCTATTAAAGCGTATTCTATTAGAGATGACAGTAACTTATAGGAAATTTTATTTATGACTCATAAACGACAAATTTTTTCCTTTCAAATGAGGAACTTCTGCCGGCATAATCGAATGTACCGCCGAATCAAAAATCCCTTAATCACCGAAATCATTTATTTTCCATTGAAATTTATTACTCGTGAAAAATCGAATGGCCGAAACATTTACGAACTATTGCGTGTATCTGTTACATAAATGTGACTACCGAAAGATCTGTTAACTGTGATTAATACCAGTAAATACCGATGAAAACCAGTGACCTCCACGCAACGCTTCGCTTGTAAAGCATTCGATAGCGTTTATCGAATGCTATCGAATGGACCATTCCCATCAGTGAAATGAAAACGAAATGAAAACGATCAACGCACGAGTGCACGCAAATTTGATTCGCGTTTCGCTGTCGGCTGATATTTTCTTCAGCCGCGACAGTTTTCTCTAATACCACCGGGATGAAACTAGCAAAAGTAAAGCTTGAAGGCTAGTCTCTCTAGTTGGAATTACGCATTTGGACGCGCCCGTATTTGTGTATCGTGCAAATGAGAAACTCGACGTCGCGCCTCGTCGCCATCGTCGTTGTCGTCGTAGTCGTCTTCGTGACCGTGGAAAAGCAGGCAACCTGGCGAGCAGGCAGCTGCTACTACTTCCAGGCCTGATGAAAATACGGTTGCATCCCCAAACTTTGCATTTGGCTGTCCTGCGGAAACGTGTAAATGTTACGAAGCGAGATTCTGCCGCTAATGAATTAGGAATGAAGCGCATTTCACTCAGCAAGTGCGGCCGGATACGACAATAGGGAGCATCTTGTCGCGTGATTCCGTGCTCCGCTTAACGAGGAAACGCGTTCAGCCGTACTTCAGTCGCTGCTGGATTTATTTTTCCATCATTTGATCCAGTACTCTGTCGAATGCCAAGAATTTACTTGACACAAGTGAAAAAATATTTATTCGTTTATTTTTGGTAGCTAATCCAAGAATTTAATTAGTATCATTGTCAAATACACGTACTCGAGTATTATGTATGTTACTAATACATAAATCATTCTTCAGGATAGGAGTAATTTAAAACATCAGTTTTCATTAAAGAATTCCGATTTTCCGTAAGGTAGCTTAAAAGTGATAATCATATTCTAAAATTAACAGGATTAGTTTATATTCATAATAAGATATAATAAAATAAAACATGAATTTATCAAATTAAAATTGAATTGAAATTAATTTACTCTGTTTGTAACTATTAAGATTTGCATCTATGTATATTATGGTTTCTCCATTAAATTTCTCCTGCATATTTCAAACGCTCGCCGCGGTTCAATATCATTAGGTAGCGGTGAGGATAAGTGCTGCTAATCAACGAGGTTCACGTTCTCTCATGGCATGCTTGACAGATCCTAGCATACATATATGAATACAGCTAGTGGAGATGGAAAGAAGTCTTCTGGAATCGGTCGTTTCCGACA